TACGTTTCAAACCCAAGCACACTCACAGAGAGAGAGAGAGAGAGAGAGAGAGAGAGAAAGAGAGAGAGAGAGAGAGATATTCAGACAGACAGACAGACAAACAGACAGACAGAGAAAAAAAGAGAGAGAGAGAGAGAGAGAGAGAGAAAGAGAGAGAGAGAGAGAGATATTCAGACAGACAGACAGACAAACAGACAGACAGAGAAAAAAAGAGAGAGAGAGAGAGAGAGAGAGAGAAAGAGAGAGTGAGAGAGAGAGAGAGGGAGAGAGACAGAGACCGAGACAGGGACAGAGACAGAGAGAAAAACCTCATGCATCCCACCACAGTTATCTATTTGAAGTATGCAAAGGGCCAGATTACAGGCACATGGATCCGAACCAAAAGGAGAGCCCAAAAAAAAACAAAAAAACAAAAACATTTAAAACACCTAAACACACGGAACAGCAACAACAAATAACAGTCAACCACAGAAATTTAAAAAAAAAACAACAACCCAAAAACGTCAAGTTTGTCCTTCAGATGTGGACATCCTGTTGTGCTCCTTTATCTTTATCTTTCTCTGAATGCTATTGGTGTGTTGTATCGCGGTGAAATCAGGCGCTCGTCAAAATAGTTCATTAGCAGAATTCACCAGTTGTTTTGGAGTTGTTGTTTTTGTTTGTTTTTGTTGTATGTGCTATTTTTTTTATCTATTTTTGTTTTTACATTAGTTTTTATTTAAGGGAAGGGCTCAGCACCATCAATGTCAATTTTTTAAAAAGAACATGTTTATTTGTGGATGCTACTGAAAATCGTTGATAAAAGGCATAGAATAAATAATATGTAGGCCTAAGTCTACTGTGTCCAAGAACGCCCCAGCTTGGCAATTGGAGTTTGGTAACGCTTGACAGACATTTTCTAGCAAATTATACCTCTGACACCAGACGAACACCCCCCCACATCTCTCTCTCTCTCTCTCTCTCTCTCTCTCTCTCTCTCTCTCTCTCTCTCTCTCTCTCTCTCTCTGCAAGTACAACTGTGGCCAGTTTAGTTATCTGTCATAACGAAAGAAAATCTGTTTTTCATTTCTACTTTCATGTATGTAGGAGATGTAAGAGCTTGTTTACTCGCTCGTGACCATGGGATTAAAACAACATGATCACCTGGACGCACACTAGACCCAGCAGCAAGACTCATTCATCATCAGTCTACACACTGTGTGTCACATGTGGTATTGTTTACGGATGGTTTGCGAGAGGCTTTTATGTTATGCAGCTCTTTAACGAGTGACCAACTGAGTCAGCAAAGAGCGCGGTTGACTTCAGTTATTTGTAGTGCATACCGATTCTTTGCCTGCTTTTTAATTGCGGTACGATTAACTGCCGTAAGTTCGTCAAATATTAAGAGTCTAAGTTACAAACATTTGAAATTTAACCTTCAGTGCTTTTCCTTGTTTTACTGTTCCCAGCTGATGTTTGGCATGCCTATGGAAGTAGGTCAAAGCTCAAGCTTTGTGAAATATCAAGCCACCAGTTTATATACATATCATTTCACACATACAGTTCAGAATAACGGCCACGTATGTGGGATACTGACCTCCACCCTCTTTTTTTACTTTCAGGATTTCAGATTTCTTCACTGCAGCAGTTGAGGGATAGCTAGATATCACCCTTTCTGAGTGACAAGATGGCGGACTGGCAACCTGATGGCTTTTGTTTGAACTACACCGGCAATCTAACGACGTACCCGGTCGTTTTCCACTGTTCCAAACTGATTATCAATATGACCTCTTGCTATCCAGTTCAGACTCCCGAAGAAGCAGACCAGATCCGACTTCTATGTAACTCTGCAGACATCATGTGGGAAGTTCTTTTCTGGTTCGCAATCGTCTCGGGCATCCTGGGAAACGGATTAGCTGTGTTTACCATTGCGTCACTTCCGTTGTCAACAGCGACGTTTTACGTAGGACTTCTGGCTTGTTCCGACATGGCGGCGGTGTTTATTAGAGGAACCTCATACATACTTGAAGACAACATGGTGTACACGCGTGTATCTGTGACGTGGAATATGTTCCACATGCTCGGTGACTTCATCGTGTCCTACTCCAACTGGCTTCTCGTGCTCATCTGTTTGGAGCGCTATCTGACGGTACGATTCCCGCTCCACAAACGCTACATCTTCACCGTCAAACACGCTCGGATCAGCGCTGTGGTTCTGGCTGCAGTGCTCTTCACTGCTTTCAACGTGATCGTTTGGGAAATCGGGTACTTTAATCCCACAATTTTCCACGTCACAAATCTCCTGTATTCATTGCTGCCCCTCATTCTCATTCTGGGTTTTATATTTCTAATCTCCCACCAGTTGCGGAAAATCCAGGACAAACGGAAATCTCTCAACGCGCATGTGCAGTCTCCGAAAACACACTCGGCTGCATCCGGCGATGACGAGATAAATTCGAATGCGACTCAAAGGCTGACAGTCCGGGCGAGGTCTCCGCTCCAGGAGATTGCCCGTTTGGAGAACAGTATCACCATGATGATGACCGTGGCCGCCATCTTCTTCTCAATCCTCACCATTCCTGGTTGCATCCTCATGTACATGTTCCATTATTTCAGCGCAGAGTGGAACACGCCATTCCTCAGAGCTCTCTGGTATATGCTCTACAAAATTTCACAGATTCTCACATTCCTCAATTTGTCCGTGAACTTTTTCCTATACTTTCTGAGCGCGAAAAAGTTCAGATCTCAGCTGTACAAGGTCGTAATGCCAAAATCTTTAATCATTCGGAAACCCTCTCCGAAACTTCAACAGTCGACCAACAGTTCCCACGACAAACTACCTCTACAGCCGCTTCGGAACAGTATTTCAGACAGCAATCAATACTTTATCGGCAACGGCCGGAAAGAGTCTCCCATCAGTGACGTCAGAGGGACGGTACAGGTCAGCGAGTGGACGATTGGATCAACGGCTTGAGGACTCACGGAACCCTACAAGGGAAAGATAAAGATGTGATGGCTCTAGGATACGTAGGAGCAGAGCGTCTGACATCGACACAGGATAGTTCTGTTTCAAATCGTTTCCCCGCAACTTTCATCATCCGAGAGTTTAGTATTCAAGGCGTATTTGCATGAGGAACGTCAGCATCTGTGTTATAATGGCAGGACTCACGGCTGTTGTACTCAGAAGATGTGAATTCCATTATAGCTTGGAGAAATTTACATCTTTGAGTTGTTCCATCTTTCTTCTAATATGTTGTTTACTGCCAATTTGGTTATGGAAGGGGCTGGAGCAGCCCGCCTCCTATACGATGTAAATTCAGTGTTTTAAGGTGTACAACATTTACCAAACAGTCAAGCTGATGGAACAACACTTTAAATCCTCCGTGAACTAAAAATTGTGAACTATTTTGCGTTTCCTCAGTTTAGTTCTAGCCATCTCGCGAATCAGTGATGGATAACGGCTCAACGTAAGAAAACCCGCGAGGACAAAAGTGTGTATCTTTTACTGTAGGTTAATGAACTGTATACCTAAGACTTAACTTAAAAGACAGCAGAAGACGAAACTATTAGACCGAACGACTTCAGAACTCTCAGCTTTGTCTTGCCTTTATCTTTCTTCGCATATTTCACTCTTTAGTGTTTGACTACAAAATCACATTCGATAGTTCAAGCGGATTGATTTTGATCCTTAATCAGAAAAAGGAGGTTATAGTATTTTTTGTCTTGCCACTCATCGGCAACCCATTTCGAAACATCTGCAAAGCACAAATTGTATACCTGTGGGTGTAAAATGGGGGATACAGTACAGGGGAATAATCGAATATCCCTTGTGCTTCATTTCTGAAGAAATGCATAGAAAGTATGTGCTATTGCTCCAATTAGTGGATGTCTTTTAGCAGGGAAAAGAAAAGACGTGGAGGTAATTGTTGGATCGAATAACTTCAATATCAATTTTGTACCAAATGTTTATGTCATCTGCTTGGTATGCCCTTTACACCTTTAATTCTGTTTTGAGGTCTCCCAACTCACTGGTATTTAATTACAGTAGCCCTGCCTTTGTCGTGTTTTGTTAGTGTTGTCAAGAAAGCATGTTTCGTTTGTTTGTTTTTCGGGGGGGGGGGAATATTTTTCGATTTTTTGCATTTCTTTGGTACATTTTTGTTACAAACCATTTGTATTTAGATCGAAGGCAATACTTTGCCTAGAGCATTTTAAGATGGAAGTCTGACAAAGGCTGAAAGCAATAAGTCTGCAAAATTATATTATGGGAATAGTTGCAATTGCCATTGCACACTTAAGGGCAGAAAAACTACGTCAATGTTTGTAAGGCGACAGAATAACATCCGTATTCTCAACTACTCTGTTTGTTTCTTGGGTGAGGAATCTCCACACAGCGAAAGGAAAAGTGGAGAGACGAGTCTGTTAACCAATATGTTATCACCTGGTTATTCGTTGAAAAGGGGAAATTGGAAATAATTGAGACAGATTGAGAAGAAGAGATGGTGCCGTGCCACAAAACTAATCTTGGATACATAATTATTAAAGTATGGGTAAACGTGTAAGGAACAGCCAACGTTATATCCCAAGAAAGGTGAGACACGTTTGCTACTTTTGCTACGTAATCATCATTGTTGCTCAAAATGTATACCCCTCCCCCCTCTCCTTTTGCAAGCTATGCGTATACATTTTGGTTTTTTTACTTGAGTGAATGCCATATTTCGTTAGGTGTGAGAAACAGAGATTGAGCCACGCAATCAATGACTTTACATTTATTTTTTAAAATGTGAAGAAGGCAGCACTATATCTAAACAGCTTTAGTGTTTGTTTTACAGGCTCGGCTACAAGTGCCTATTACATGATTTTCTAGGCCTGATCTTCACAGGTAACAACTCCGACTCAAACGACCTCACTACCTCACTGTCCCAGTGTCGAGTTACACAGCGAGTCAGTGTATTTTAGTTATTTGGCATTGTTTTCTCACTTAACTTGTGGAATAATATTTTTCCAAAATGCTTTTCGAAAACTTTTTAGAAAATTCCTGTTTATCTTGAACTTGCTTTCGTTCACTCTTCGGAAGTCTGTCGTGATCTGCTATGCTTTCTAGGATCCTTAGAGTGACCCTTTAAATACGTCATCAACTGTTGCACCAAATGGCAGCTCCATTGGGATCTCCAACATTCCCTGGGTGCCTGCAATCTAAAGCAGTATACTTAATTAGAATTGTAGCTTCTTCACTCCCGCTTTACTTCAGAATATAGAATACCTATTACATGATCGATGAACCGATACTGTCACAAGTACTCTTAGTTGTGTTGAAGTGTTGTAGTAGTACAGCCTTTTTGCTGGAAGCATTAATGTAGTTCGTCCCTGACTTGATCGGTCTATCTCAACATGACTCCACTACGAAGGTTTTATGGGTTTATTCCTAGCTTCTTTATTTTAGTGTTTGGAGCTCATAAAGGTGCGGTGGACATCCAGAGAGAAAACCCATATTTTTTCCTCATCCAAATCAATGAATGAAAAGCGATAGACACGAGAATAATGGGTTGATATCAAGACAAAAGAATGTCGTGATCTGAAAACGTGAAGAAGGCAGCTCTACATTTTATAGAGTCTCAGTATTCGTTTTAATGGTTAGGCTTCAAGTGCCTACTACGTGGATTTTTCGAGACCTGGTCTTCAAAGGTAGCAAACCAGAGGCAACAACATCACTACCTCACTATGGCAGAGTCCAGTTACGTAGTTAGTCAAAGCACTTTAATTTTTTGGCATAGTTTCTAATTAAACTTGTGAACTCAACGATCTGATCATCGAATGAAAGGCCAACTCAAGCCAAAAAGACGAGACCCTCGTAATTGGCATAGATGTCATGAAGTGGAAATAAATAGAGTGCCCAAAGTACCTCACTATCCCATCACCTCTGTATCAAGAGGCTTAGGTTGTTTGGGCCCAGGAGTAATTGGGATCGATTTTTAATAGATTTTGTCAAATAAAATTACTCTCCTATACGACTTTAGTGATAACTAAACTTTGGTAGAATTTATCTCGCCATTGAAATTGTTCACTCTGGGACAGTGTGCCTGGATCTTATACCCACTATTTAGACACAAAATTACCCGTTAATTAAATCATTTCATCGCACTGCCCATGACAGTATACCTGTGTCTTATGCGCACATAGTTTTTACACATAGTTTAAAATATATTGGAATCACATAATGCATTGTACATCAACAATCAAAATTGTGGCAGTAAAAGAGGAAACTGCGTGACGCGAGTGCTTTCTAGTCAACTTATAATTCAATGTAACTCATCATTAGCTAAAACAGAAACAAGACAAAAGTATGACTGTATACTTGTCTACTAGATACTACTATAGCAACAGACAGAGCAGAAAACTCTCTGTTTCTCAGAGAAAAAAAGCAAGACCGGTCTTAAAATTGTAGATATGCGTATTTCATAGGAAAAGTCTTATCCTCTGATTGTCTGTGTCGCCTTATAGAATGTGTTGACGTGACTCGTCTGCAAAACTTAGAAGCTGTTGTGGGCTTAATCGAATGGAAGGGTAACGTGAGTATGACTGTACGTTACTTTGGACATTCTTTTGATTGTATTTGTGGGGGTATAGTGGGGGGGGGGCATGGTAATCTACAGATAAAAGAATGGATGAAGCTCTACATTTATGCACATTGCAAAGTTGCTATAGAATGCTGAAACTGGAAGAAGTGCTCCTTTCGAAAGTAACTATTAGTCGGTAACTCGTGCAGTGTTCATCGAGTTTAAGTTTGGACGGAGAAAAAGAAACACATAGCCAGTCTATGACTAGGTTTAATGACATTCATTGAGCATACATGGGTGGATCTCAATAAGCCCCCGATATCTAAAGACCCCCAAAGAACTCTTGATATCGAGAAGATCTTTGTGTCTGCTATGTTTTCTGAAGGTTTACGTAAGTAGGTTCTTCTCTGTTACAACGGAGTATTTGTTTCAGTAAAAGTCTACTTAAACACCTCCCCCCACCCCCATTATGAAAAAAAAACCTGAAAGCGTCTTTCAAGAAAGACGTCACAAGGACCCACATGTAGCACCAAAGACTATTGAGTCCCTGGATGTGTATTGAGTAGGCCAGTTAGGTTCCGAACGGGGTGCTTGAGTAGACATTTAGTTACTTTTGTTTCTTGTGTAACGTTTTACAAATGTTAAGCAGCCTAACACTACTATTAAACAGGGTTTTTGAGTTGTCTTGTTGAATTAGTCATAACGTAGATGCCCCATTTGTTGATCAAGGGACTTAAACTTAATCATGCATGTTTTGTCCCTGGGGCTTGCATACTCTTGTATTGTTTTTGTTTGTATGTATATGTCTGTGTGTGGGTGTTTTTATTTTCGCTCATTTATGAAAGAGGGAAAGATAGGAGGTGAGAGAAAGGGTTAGGGAGAGGGTAGAGAAGGGGGGTGGTGGAGAGAAAGTGGTTCAGTGTGTATCTTGTGTATATGTATATCGGTGTATGAGTGTATTTGTGTGTGTAGCCCCGGTTACTCGTAACGATAAATTGTACAAAAACTGGACGGTCTATCGATCATGAGACATATCGTCAGGTGTAACCTCAAAATTGTACCAAGTTTGGACGATTGGACGATGGCTTGGAGACTCGGTCGAGAAATCAAGCGCTGCTTGATATTTTTCGTGCGATCACGGTCAGATTTGGGGGGGGGAGACGCGCTGTGAAGTTGAATCACTTTAAAATTTGTAGCCACCAGGATTAAACTTAGGGCTCTAAATGTTAAAAATAATAATCGCATGTAAAAAGTGATTTCATATTCGGAATCAGCGTCTCAAAATAAGCAAAGTTGCTCGCGGAGAACCTGATTTGATGCGTTATTGTGTAAATTCTAGCAATTTTATTATTTAGTTGATCGTCAATGGTGAAGTTGTGTATCATGGTCACCCGGTGCGTTGCACATCTGCAGTCAAGTCAATTACTAAAAATCTCCCTGATCGGAAGAAAACTGGACGATAGATTGATACGTCTATACAGACTACACAGCTCGATAAAACGGACTGTTCTCGCATACGACGAATCTTATACAAGTTATCGTAGCGAGTAACCTGGGCTTAAGTGTGTGTGTGTGTGTGTGTGTGTGTG